CGCGCTGTTCGCAATGGTCGTCGTGTTCCGCGTTAGCGTCCTCCCCCTGTCCCCAGCACGCACCAGATGGCACTTCGTCCTTCCTCTGTTCCATTGCGTATCCGTCTGCCGTCTCCTCCTGCGTCCTCCCTTGCTGATGGTTCGGACCCGAAGTCTGACTCCCTTCGTGCTGCTAGTCCTACTGTCACGCGTCTCCTGGCCACTGTTGTCACTGACCCTTCCTTTGAGTCTACTGCTGCGTCTGCTCTTGTTGCTGAGCTGGTTGACTTTGCTGCCGCCTGTCGTCTAGACTACGCCGCTAGCCTTGTTGATGAGTCAAAGTCTGTCTGTCCTCCGTCCGTTGGGGGTGAGTGTACTCTTGGCACGGACGTCCTCAAGGACAGGCAGGAGGACTTTGAGTGTTTTGCAACTGCTGTACCTCATCTCGTTGTTGGATGCACGCCATTCTGAGTGCATGTCATCCTAACGTCCTGCCGAGTGCTCGTGCTATTCATGCGTGCATTATTTGCATGAGCATATGTCATTGTGCATGGTTGTTGATATTATCATCTCTGTGTTTTTCTCCAAGTTTAATTCCTTGATCATGCAGGAGAAATTCGGAGATTTCCAACGATACCAAGATCGCCTTATTCCGACCAAGATCGCCCAAGTTACAAGATTTCCAAGACTTGGATTTCTTAATACCTTTTGGGGTTATATCTAATTTGGGTGATTACTTGGACATGACTATAAAGGGATCTTTTGTTGGGTGGTTAGGAAGGAAACTTTGACTTTTGGATTGGGGTGGCTAGAAGTTTCTAGCATGGGTTGCAAATGTTGCAACACCTAGGCAAAATCCAACTAGATCCGATTTTGCATGTGACACCTCAAGGACCTCATGATGAGGGTTGCATCCTTGCTGCTAGGAAGGTTCCTACCATCCTTCCCTAGTTCTTGGATAACCCCTTCCCTCTCATGGTTCTTTTGGAGTCCCCAACTCCAACTTCCTATGCCTTAATGCTTGTACTTCCTCCACCATTCTAGTCATGAGGCTGCTGGACGTTTTTACTTGGTTCTCACTCTCTAGACCATCTTAACGACTGATTCAACTTGGAGATGGTAGCTAATTCTAAGGCGCACAATCCTACTGAGCGGATTTGCATTTTGTTGAGTAATAAGTTCGTCGTAAGCTCTCAAAGTGACGGATCGTGAACAACACTCATGTCCATGCTGATTGCACCTGAGGGAGACCCAGATGCACCAGACATCCCGACCCCGCGCTCTTACGCAGAGGCGATAGAGGGTCCCTAATCCTCTCAGTGGCAGACAGTCATGGACGCAGAGATGGCATCCTGGAAGTCCACAGGCACTTACGTCGACGAGGTTCCCCCACCTGGGGCGAACATCGTCTGTGGCATGTGGATTTTCAGGGTGAAGCGGCCGCCGGGTTCTCCGCCTGTCTTCAAGGCGCGTTACGTTGCACGAGGCTTCAGTCAGCGACAAGGAGTTGACTTCTTCCAGACCTTCTCCCCTACCCCAAAGATGACCACTCTTCGGGTACTGCTGCACGTCGCAGCTCAGCGTGACTACGAGCTTCACTCTCTTGAATTCAGCACAGCTTTCCTACAGGGCAGCCTGCACGAGGAGATCTGGCTGCGCCGCCCACCTGGCTTCACTGGGTCGTTTCCTGCAGGTACCTAGTGGAGCCTCCGGCGGCCAGCCTCGGGAGTGGCACGACACACTGAGGACGACTCTAGCGGCTCTTGGGTTTGCTCCCCCTACTGCTGACCCGTCGCTGTTTCTACGCAGCGACACTTCGCTGCCGCCGTTCTACATCCTCGTTTACGTTGACGACTTGGTCTTTGCCACTGCTGACACTGCTGGACTGGCCCACGTAAAGTCGGAGCTGCAAAGGAGACACACGTGCACAGAACTGGGTGAGTTGCGCAGCTATCTTGGCTTGCAGATCACCGGAAACAGAGCACGGCGCACCATTACCTTGACTCAGTCACACATGGTACAGCAGGTCCTTCAGCGTTTTGACTTCCAGTACTCCTCGCCACAGTCCACTCGTTTGCCTACCGGTCACTCGCTCTCAGCTCTGCCTTCGGATGAGTCCGTAGAGCCGAGTGGCCCGTATCCAGAGCTTGTGGGCTGCCTCATGTACTTGATGACCTGCACTCGACCTGACCTTGCTTACCATCTTAGCATCGTGGCACGCTATGTTGCGCCCGGGGGACACCGACCGGAGCACTGGAAGGCCGCTAAGAGGGTGATGCGCTACTTGTGCAGTACGTCGGGCATGGGGCTCGTGCTTGGAGGACGGGGTCTAGTTGTCCTCACCGGTCACACAGACGCCTCTTGGGTTGACGACGGCTATGCAGCGGCCGTCACAGGATTACACCTTCAGCCTTTGCTCCGGTTCTGTTTCGTGGCGGTCTACCCGCTCGTCTTCTATTCTCAGCTCCAGTTGTGAGGCTGAGATCTATGCAGGGGCCATGGCTGCACAGGAGTTACGCTGGCTCACTTTCCTGCTGACCGACTTGAGAGAGCCGCCTCGTTCTCCTCCAGTTCTGTACCTCGACAACAACGCCATGATTGCCTTGTGTCAGGAGCATAGACTGGAGCACAGAACGAAGCACATCGCATTGCGCTACTTTCTTGCTCGAGAGTTGCAGCAGCGTGGTCAGCTTCGTCATGTTTACGTGGCCTCTCAGGCCAACACTGCTGATATCTTCACCAAGGCACTTCAGCCTTGTGATCATCAGCGTTTTTGTACTGCTCTAGGCCTTGTGCCTACTTGGCCTCACTTGCTCACTTCTTGATTTTGCTTGTAATGAGATCTATATAATTATACCTGCATGCTTATACTTGCTAGGTTATGATCACTGTCCTGCTTGTTCTCCTTTTTATATAACTCTGCATGTGAACTGGCCTTGTGGCCATTTGCTTGTGCTCAAAATGCGTGGTGACTTCGTGATCCACCCTGAGCTTGACCTTGTGTCATTCTCTTGCTTTTCCCCCACTTTGCCTATGGGGGTGTGTCAGAACCATGCATTTATATGCTCTAGGCTATAGTGGGGCACTCCTCATGGGGTACAGACCAATTAGGTTTTGCTATACAAACCCTGTACTGCTGTCATTCTAGTCATTCTTCATTCCTACTTTTTGACAAAGCGAGTCAGCCCCCTGCGCGCCCAGGAATGAAGAGGAGTGTAAGACATACTTGTATGAGAAGGCATTCCTGTATGCTGCAGTAGCCGACTCTACCGAGTACGAAGTCGAGGAGTCAGAAGAGTCGAAGCGACGCAACAACCGTCTGACAAAGACCGATGCAGGCAAAAACATTTGAAATGAAAAGAGCGGGAACAGGTTGGAAATGGGTTCTCGCGCCGCACAGTTTAAATTCGCTGCAATAAGGGAATGTACCCCTTAGAGTACATGGCTAGTCTAGGACTTTTCGTATTCCTTTGTATTTCCTGTATAAACTCGATGTATGCATGCTTTTATCAGCTCAGTCATTTACATTCACTCTGACCTGAGATTCAAACTTCCGCTGCAACACTACTCTGCGATCAACCCTGAGCGATCCTTCGCTAAGTCCCACTTGGGATCGTAACAGCTAGAAAAGCATACTGCCTGTATAGTGGAATTTTTTCAGAGAAAAATATGTTGGAGTAACCAAAAAAAATATTTGAACATTCGTAAAGGTTATAAGCGCATTGCCTCATATAGATGCGCAATCCCCACCGTCGCGTTAGACTCATATTGAGCGCAATAACATTGAGACGAACGAGTCGGAAGTCAACTGTACGACCAGAGTCCTCGCTATCATGCATTTTTTTTTTTATGTTTTCTGAGATTTCAGACTCATCTGTATGCGTTTATATTTTAACTCATAAGTCCACCATGATGTTCATCTGATTGATCATATATGATTTAATGATTCATCCAATTGATCAGATGTGTACTTTCTAATTGTCTGAGACCGGCAACTAGTATGCCTGGTTTTCGTGGGGGGAAAAAAAGGGGGGGGGGGGGGGAGGGTTGGTTGGTAAATGTCAAAACATATTAGTTTGTTGTCTAGGATGTAGTGGGGTAGCCCATAAAGGGTACAAAGCACACCTATGTACAGTCACTCTCACGCGTATAATCACCTCGAACCCACAAACTTGCATAACACACCTACATCTTCAGTATTCAAGAGTGATTCACTCGAGCCGGTCCGTGGCAATCGGCTCAAGAGAGGATGAAGGAATCAGGGCAGGCTGTCATGGGCCCCGCTCAATCAGAATTGTACCTTCCTCTCGTCCCATAAGTATTTCGCAACCAACCTCTCTCTGGAGGCCTGCGTCAGCTTGGTCAGGGCAGTCAGCTGCTGCAGCCCATCCTCCGTGACTGCCGTGTCCAGCAGCCCAAGGTCCTCAAGGCTGGTCAGCCTCGCCACGTCACCATGCCAGCCGAAGTTACACCCTTGCAGTAAGCCAAACAGAGCCTTTACAGAGAGGAAAGGGTTGTCAAGTGCTGCAGTCCAGCATCGGTCACCTTAGCGTTGCAAAGACTGAGAGACTTAAGTAGGCTCACTAACCCAATGCCTTTCAAGACACTATCCTTGATGGCAGGGCTGGTGACGTGCAGATGCAGCAGCTGTGGCAGCCTGCAGAGGTGGCTGACTTCCTCTGCACTGAAGCCTGAGTTGTGGCACAGGTAAACGACCTTCAGGTGGGTCATCGTGGCCACATGCCCAAGGAAGGCATCTGAGAGGCCAGCCATTGTGTTCAGATTCACACTGGTCCGTTGTGATGCTGCCTCAATTCTTTGGAAAGAAGGGATGAACATGTACTAGTAACATGATGAGGAAATGGGTGATCACAACGACAAGAAACAAATGGCAAACATCACATGCCTTGTGAATCTATACCCAATGCTCACCTGCCGTGAATTCATCCGATCGGCTGCCTGCTTTCTCCGCCTGCTATTCAACTTCAGATCCTTCCTGCTTGCCAGGTCCACCGCATTCCTCATCCCCTCCATCTGCCTCTCATCAGTGTCGTGCGTTCAGCCACCTCCCCTGCCACTTGTCCCCTCTCAGCCTCCCCCAACTCTCCCCTTGACTCTCCCAGTTGCACAGCCTTCACATGCTCCTCTATGGTCTGCATCGCTGCTGACTCCCGCTCTACCACTTTCTCCTTCACTGCTGCGAGCTCCCTCTTCCTCTCCTCCACCTGCTCTTTCAAGTATGTCACGTCCAGTCCCCTCCTGCGCTCAGCCTCGTCCAACCTTCTCATGGCCTCTTCCAGCTGCACGCCAAGTGCTGTCAATTTCATCTCCATCGCCTCTGCCATCAGCCTCCCTCGCCCCACTTTTAGCCCCCAAGAAATCGCAACAGCTTCATTCATTCTCCGCAATCCACACCTGCCAAAATCACAACACATGGCACAATTAGAGAATTGAGTGCACGAGAGCACAAGAGAACATGTGGGAGCACAAGAGAGCATGTGTGAGCACAAGAGAGCATGTGGGAGCACAAGAGAGCATGTGGGAGCACAAGAGAGCATATGAGCACAAGAGAGCATGTGAGAGCACAAGAGAGCATGTGAGAGCACAAGAGAGCATATGGGAGCACATGAGAGAGGGCATATGAGAGCGGAAGGGAGCATATGGGAGTACAAGAGAGCATATCAAATGGCATATCAGAATACGCCGTAAGACAAGGCAGCACATAGGAGTGCGAGGCAGCACGTGTAGTTTGCAAGAAGCATGCTCACGTGGCTTTGAGTAGCAGTGTGACGAAAGCGCGCAGCTGTGGCACGGAGATGGGCAAGGAAGACCCAACAGCATAGAGAACATGATGGTTGTGTGGGAGAATAAAAGGAAACGCGAGAGAGGGATGAAGTCCGAAGCAGAAAGAAATGATGGGTTTGGGGAGAGAATTGTCGGGAGAGAGCACTTGACAGTGGTGTGGCTGTGCAACGCATGCCAAAGGACAATGAGCCCCCCACGGTGAAGCAACGTTAGTCAAACGCATTTGTCATGCATTGCCTACCCTCTTCTTGATCAAGCTTGCCAGCTTCAGCAAATGAGCCCATGAAGCCAATGCATGGTGGCGGATCCATGCTGTGAGTTGCGTGAAGGTGATGCCCATTAGCCAGAGAAGCACCACCAGTGCAGTCGTCACGGGATACATGATGCCCGCCTAGGTAAGGGCAATGACGGGGGCAGTGAGAAACAACACACAAAGCCGATAAGATGTAAAGGAAAGATAAGACGCACCATCTCATTCCATGCATCATGTAACCATCAAGACATGTATTCCATGTGATTCACCTTGAGCGTCTTTGCAGGGCACCAAGGATGTACTCACCAGGGTGTGTGTGATCCCACTGATGCACGCACCAGGGAGTGAAGGAGGGTCGTGGCTCCATAGGGGGCACGGTGGGTGCTGGAGACGATTGCAAGTGGCCGAGGAGTTGGTATAAAGGTGCCATTCTGAGGGGCAGAGGCATCGAACTGGTGGGGCACACATGGAGTGGTAAACAAAGCGGAAAGTAAGAGTACTGTTGATGCGAGCAGCGATGAATGCAACACCAAATGCAACAACGAAGGAGACTAGTGAAAAACAATACGTAACAGGGAAGTTTATTTAAGCGAAACAAGATGGTGCACCAACCAACATACATGTAGATCTATTCTTATTACAATGAATCAGAAACTGACCTGAGGGAGGGTTGAAGAGAGCACTACAGGATGGTTCACTTGCAGGCTGCGAGGGTCATGTGGAAGCTGCAAGAGGCAACGTGTAGAGCACAGGTGCATACAGAGTATTAGGTTTCATGGGCGCAGGTGCATGTGAGAGGTAAAAATCTCGCGCATTCTTGGAGATCAGAAAGCACTATGACCAGCACCACACTTGCCAATCCCACGCGGTCATGCACACACGTTCCTTTAACACTCTACTTACGTCCTGTGTGTAGTCCATAAGAGGTATGAGAATGAGTGTGGTGGCAGCACCAAGGATAAGAGCGAGCAGCAGCCCGATTCCTTCCATGGCCAGTTCAACCACACGAGCCATGGGCACTAGGTGTGCATCGGGTGGGTTTGACAAGGGTGAGTGAGGGACCATGGACAGGGTGAGTCATTGTGGTCAGAGAGCGAATGGGCGAGATGTGAAGAGGGGACGGAAAGAGACGGGAGAACGGATGGACGATGCAGCAGGGAACAGCTATTGGGCGCTGCAGGGATATGAAGAGAGCAGCAACGGAGGGAATTTGGCAGAAAGCTCCAAGAACAGAGACGCAGTAGATAAGAGTAATTGTGCATGGGGGAAGGGAGAGGAGGATCATCGCGGTGAACGACATGGTGGGGAGGAGACGGCGACGGGAAAGGCAGGGGGGCGAGCAAGGAAGGAGAGAAGGCATGCAGGGTGAATGGGTGATGTCAGCCTATGCTAGAGCAAGAGGCGAATAGATGAAGGGCAAGAGGGGTGCAGGGTGGTGAGAAGGCACTCAGGGCGGCAGACTGATGCATCGGATGTTAGGGCCACGAGAAGCAGAAGGGACGAACGGTAACGATACTAGGACAAGGCTTGAGGTTTGCAAAAATACATAACCAAGGAACAAGCCATCTGGATGTGAGAGAATCGGAGGGGTAAGAAGCTAGAATGGTAAAGAGACAGGGGGTACGGCCAAAGGCTAAGCAGCTAAAGTATATAACCGTGTTGGATAGTACAAGCAGGGAAAGGCAGCAGCTGAAAACCGACGAGATAGCAGTGCTGAGTGGATTGAGGAACGCAATGAGGTTGGCGCAGTCGCATGAAGGCAGCTACCGGTACTGGATAGGCATCGAATGGCACAGTGGCCATACCTTTTTGTGCGAAGATCAGGGTTGTCAACCGCAAGCACCGTGATGCCAGGAGTAGTAGCTTCAGCGCGCGGCTGCTGAAACGACCGCAGCTCGATTTGCGAGACAGAGGCGGCAGTTCAACAATTGAATTGTCCAACGGATAGGCGGTTGTGCAGAAAAGAAGGGACTAGGGGTTGCGGCGAGAAATCGCAGGGCGGAGAGGTGGAAGGAATTGAGTCACCAGTCTGCAACGCAAGAGTTCATACCGATAAAGAATATTACGCTGTGTCTCCTCTTGTTTTCCTCGCAACCGAACCATCATCCAATGCATGTAACCATTCATTCACGTCCTGCATCTTTTCAGCTGCTCTCGCCTCGCCTTCGCTCGTTATCGCCGCACCTTCCGAATCGCGGACTCCGTTGCACCGATGGACGATAGCAACGCAGCGGAGCACCCTGCGCAACGCCGCAGCGAGAACACGTGGAGGCCGCCGAGGGCCCCTATGCTGCTGCATGGACGTCTCGGCTTGAGCGCACCTCATCAGCAGCTCCTTCACTTGTACCTGCTACTAATTCATCCGTTCGCTCCGCCCCGATATATGCTGTGGAGTCCTCTCGAATGCCGACAGCGCACGCACAACTCGGAATCGTTGGCGGGCGGAATATGGTGAGGCATTGCGTTGAGCAGGGAAGGGGTAGCCAAGGAAATCGTTGAAGGTGCAGGATGGGATGCAGAGGGGTGTTTGCGGAATCACGTGGACCGAACCGCATTGAATGTGTACGAAGCATCTACGTGGCATTGCTGTGCTATCTCGTGGCACCAGAGCGATGCGCACGCGGAGATTTCTCAAGCAACACAAGAGAGATGTACGATATACATGAAAGGTAGCGGTTGTAGCAGGAGAGGTGGTGGCTGAAGAACTTGTGGCGGATGGTTTGGGAGTGGTAAGAGATGTGGCAGGTGAAGTGGTGGCTGTGACAGGTGGGGTGGCGGCTATGGCAGGTGAGGTGGCGGCTATAACAAAGAGTGACAGCTTGTTCGGAAAAAGAAAACGATGTGGCAGGAGGGGCAGCGGATGTGGCAGGAGGGGCGACGGATGTGGTAAAAGGGGCGGCGGATGTGGCGGGAGGGGCGGCGGCGACGGTAGGCGGGTGGTGGGGGGGAGGGGGGGCGGCCGCGGCAGGCGGGTGGGGGGGGAGTGGGGGGGGGGGGGGGGGGGGGGGGGAGCGGCAGGTGGGGGGAGGGGGCGGCGGCCGCAGCAGGCGGGTGGGGGGGGGGCGGCGGCCGCGGAAGGCGGGTGGGGGGGGGGGGGGGGGGCGGCGGCCGCGGCCGGCGGGTGGGGGGGGGGGGGGGGGGGGGCGGCCACGGCAGGCGGGTGGGGGAAGGGGGGGGAGGCGGCCGCGGCAGGCGGGTCGGGGGGGGGAGGCGGCCGCGGCAGGCGGGTCGGGGGGGGGAGGCGGCCGCGGCAGGCGGGTCGGGGGGGGGAGGCGGCCGCGGCAGGCGGGTGGGGGGGGGGGAGGCGGCCGCGGCAGGCGGGTGGGGGGGGGGAGGCGGCCGCGGTGGGGAGGGGAGGCCGCCGCGGCAGGCGGGTGGGGAGGGGAGGCCGCCCGCAGCAGGTGAGAAGGAAACAAAATGGCAAGCTAACAAACTTAGAGCGTACGGAAACAGAGTGTTGCGGTGTGTACTTACCACAGGAGAACGGCACTTGCTGGCGTCACGCGTGGCGAATCCAACAGCGCGTGTGCTTTGAGAAAAGCCAACCGAGGAAGAGTCGCGAGGATCTATGAAGAGGGCAGGGGAAACAGGGTGGGGAGCGGGAAGGGAGGGTCCAGGGGAAGAGTTGCTGCTCATGGCTCAACAGCACGCTTTCAATTGAATTGCTGCTACAGCTGCTACAGATGCTGCTACGTCAAAGATTTTGCTGCTGCTGGTTCCTTCTCGGTTTTGCTGCTTTCTGTTGTTGTCCAACCTCTGTGGTTTCATTGCACATCCTTGTGACACATACCTCGAGATACAACTGTTTTTGTAGCGGGGGGGATGACAGTTGTAGCAAGAGAGGTGCTGTAGCGAGAGCAGTAACAATCATAGAAAAAGTGTTGGCATATGGTTCGGAAGGGGAATGAGAGAGGGCAGGTGGAGTGTCGTCTATAGCAGGAGAGATGGTGGCAGTAGTAAGAGCTGATGCACAGAGCCAAATATGCACGGAGCAGAAGCTGCGGCGCAGGCCAGGCGCAAATCAGAGAAGATTTTTTTCGGCCAAAGGTTCTCGACCCACTGTCAACGCTTTGGGTCGTCTCTCAAGGTTCTCTGGTAGGAGGGTTTCTTCCTTCGACCCTAACCGCACCGCACCGCACCGTGAAGGGACGCTTGCGAAGCCCCAAAGGCAGTTGCGAAGCCTCCCACGCCCCTTTGGGAGGGGCGGGGCAGCGTCTTTGGTTTCGCCAGCGGGTTTCCGTCGCGCGGAACTTCCAGAAAAGGATACGACGCGTGGTGGGCATCCATAGCTCGACGCTTATCGGATGGGATTTCAACCCGCGGGCCACAGTTTTCAACCTTAGAAAGGCTGGTTGGGGAAGTGGTTGCGAATGTGGAAAGTGTCGACAATGATTGACGAGGTTCGCGTGCCAGATCGAGCTCGCAAAAGTAACCCCAGGTCGAATGCAACCTCAACACCCCCACGTATTCAGTTGCCCAATACCTAATGCGACACTTCACATCACAACATCCACCGCTTCATTTCTTGGGCAACACCTCCGTGTTAGAAGAGCTACGTTAGTCTAGTCCTGTTGTACTTTTTTCGGTCATTACAACGCTATAAGCACAGCTAACAGTGTGCCTGTGCCTGTGCCTGTGCCTGCTTTGCCTGTGCCTTTGCTTCTGCATGCTGTGCCTGTGCCTGCTGTGCCTCTGCCTGTGCCTCTGCCTGTGCCTCTGCCTGTAGTGCCTGTGCATGTGCCTCTGCATGCTGTGCCTGTGCCTCTGCCTCTGTGCCTGTACCTGCTGCTCCAGTGCCAGAGCCTCAGGCTGCCCTTGCGCCAGAGCCTCAGGCTACCCCTGTGCCAGAGCCTCGGGCTGCCCCTGTGCTAGAGCCTCAGGCTGCCTCTGTGCCAGAGCCTCAGGCTGTCCCTCTGCCATAGCCTCAGGCTGTCCCTCTGCCATAGCCTCAGGCTGTCCCCCTGCCATAGCCTCAGGCTGTCCCTCTACCTGTACCTGAAGCTGTGATGGGGCTTTGGCTGTGCCTGTGAATGCGGCTGTGGCTGTGGCTGTCGCAGCAGTTGCTGTCGCTGCAGTGGTTAAGGCCGGGGAGAACGAGATCCCTTATTTGCATATTTAGCATGCACGATACGATCATGCAACATAGAACCACACGTAATGGCATGGCGGAGCAGGAAGCAGGCACGAAAGACACAATGTTCAGATGATGCATAACCACCCGTTACACATAAATTAAAGCAAGAAAAATGAGAGAAACACTTGGCTCACCCCAATCCACTTGTATGGCTGAACAACAGCATTTTCTGCCCCTTGCGGCATCAGATATGTGGCAAAACCATAACCTCTGAGAGTAAGACAAGGGAAGAGGCAAAAATGGGCAATGACATTCTAGACGTAAACCCTTCTCTCCTAATAAACTGCATGGCAGGAAACGAATACGAACGAGAAGAATACAGTCACAAGACATACATACAAAGTAACCACACCAACTTACAGTTTTCCCCATGCACTGCGCTTGACCGCACAATCTTGAATAGTCCCATACTGCACAAAAAATGCTCGCAATTGATGGTCGTTCATATTGAATGGGATGTTGGCGACATAAACTCTGCGCCGAGCAGGCTGCCCGGCTAGAGGCTGCCCGGCTGGAGCACGTTGCCCGGCTAGAGCAGGCTGATCAGCAGCTTGAGCAGGCTGCTCGGCGGCTGGAGCAGGCTGCCCGGCTGGAGCAGGCTGCCTGGCAGGAGGCGGCTGCCCGGCTGGATGCTGCCTGGCTGGAGCAGGCTGCCCGGCTGGAAAAGGCTGCCCGGCAGCTGGAGCAGGCTGCCCGGCTGGAGGCTGCCCGACTGGAGCAGGCTGCCCGACTAGAGCAGGCTGCCCGGCTGGAGGCTGCCCGATTGGAGCAGGCTGCCCGACTGGAGGCTGCCCGGCTCGAAGAGGGCTGCCCGACTGGAGCAGGCTGCCTAGCTGGAGGTTGCCCGGCTGGAGCAGGCTGCGCGGCAGCTGGAGCAGGCTACCCGGTGGCTGGAGCAGGCTGCGCGGCTGGAGCAGGCAGCGCGGCTGGAGCAGGCTGCTCGGTTGGAGCAGGCTGCTCAGTTGGATCAGGTTGCACGGCTGGAGCAAGCTGCGCGGCTGGAGCAGGTTGCCCGACTGGAGCAGGCTGCGCGGCTGGAGCAGGCTGCGCGGCTGGAGCAGGCTGCGCGGCTGGAGCATACTGTTCGGCTGGAGCAATCCGCCCAGCATTCTCGTTGCTCGGCATCAACGTGGGCCCCATATACTTAGCGAGAAAGCAAAATATGGCATGGCCCTGATTCGAGACTAGACATAAAGATAGAAAGACAGAGGAAGGAGATCATTTACCAACAAGAATCAGAAGCCTAAAAAATAAAGGAACAACAAAAATAGCAATAAGACGATAGACATAATCGATAATAAAAACATACCTGCACTTACTTCAATGACATTGTTTCGTTCACGAAGCGCCAAGCATGCAGAAAGCGTCGATTTGAAAGAGCTTGCGGCTCGCCTCATCAGTGTTGGCGACGGACAGCACTTGCTCAAGTAAACGTTCGTGCTTCAAAATCCTATATCACGCACGTGTGAAGGAGCATCATTGCATAAGAAGAGAAAGCACGCACTAGTGCATACCAGCATACAAATCATACCATCATCTATAATAAGTTATGTTATGATTATTCTCAACCGAAATAACCGAAAACAAAAAAAGGGGGTAAATGTAACTTACTCAGGAAGGAACAGAGAAACGAGATCCCCCTTCGAAATACTCTCCAACACGTCTCTTATCTCGAACTCGTCAAAAGCATCGAATGACGACTCCTCGAGCTGCTTCTTCTTTTCTCCTTGATCCATGGTCTTCGAGAAATGCGTACGTGGAGATTACTGCAGCAACACAAGAGAGATGTACGATGTTAAATACAAGAAAGGTGGCGGTTTTAGCAGGAGAGGTGGTGGCCGAAAAACTTGTGGCGGATGGTTTGGGGGTGGTAAGAGATGTGGCAGGTGAAGTGGCGGCTATGACATGTGAGGTGGCGGTTGTGGCAGGTGAGGTGGCGGATGTATAAGGTGAGGTGGCGGCTGTAACAAAGAATGACAGCTTGTTCGGAAAAAGAAAACGATGTGGCAGGAGGGGCGGCGGATGTGGCAGGAGGGGCGACAGATGTGGTAAAAGGGGCGGCGCCAGTGGAAGGAGGAGCGGCGGAAGCGGCCGGCGGGCGGGGAGGGGAGGCCGCCGCGGCCGGCGGGCGGGGAGGGGAGGCCGCCGCGGCCGGCGGGCGGGGAGGGGAGGCCGCCGCGGCCGGCGGGCGGGGAGGGGAGGCCGCCGCGGCCGGCGGGCGGGGAGGGGAGGCCGCCGCGGCCGGCGGGCGGGGAGGGGAGGCCGCCGCGGCCGGCGGGCGGGGAGGGGAGGCCGCCGCGGCCGGCGGGCGGGGAGGGGAGGCCGCCGCGGCCTGTGATTGCGGGGCCGCTGCGGCCTGTGATTGCGGCTGTGAATGCGGCTGTGGCTGCTGTTGCTGTAGTTGCTGTCGCTGTAGTGGTTAAGGCCGGGGAGAACGAAATCTCTCATTTGCATACTCAGCATGCACGATACGATCCTGCAACATAGAACCGCACGTAACGGCATGGCGGAGCACGAAGCAAGCACGAAAGACACAATGTTCAGATGATGCATAACCACCCGTTAAACATAAATTAAAGCAAGAAAAATGAGAGAAACACATGACTCAACCCAATCCACTTGTACGGCTGAACAACAACATTTTCAGCCCCTAGCAGTGTCAGATATGTGACAAATCCATAACCTCTGAGAGTAAGACAAGGGAAGAGGCAAAAATGGGCAATGACATTCTAGACGTAAACCCTTCTGTCCTAATAAACTGCATGGCAGGAAACGAATAGAACAAGAACCAATACGAACGAAAAGAATAGAGTCACAAGCATCAAGTAACAGAACCAACTTCGACATACACACAAAATAACCACACCAACTTACAGTTCTCCTCATTCCTTTCGCTTGACCACACAATCTTGAATCGTCCCATACTGCACAAAAAATGCTCGCAATTGATTCATATTGAATGGGATGTTGGCGACATAAACTCTGCACCGAGCAGGCTGCCCGGCTAGAGCAAGCTGCCAGGCTGGAGCAGGCTGCCCGGCTAGAGGCTGCCCGGCTGGAGCAGGATGCCCGGCTGGAGCAGGCTGACCAGCAGCTGGAGCAAGCTGCCCGGCGGCTGGAGCAGGCTGCCTGGCTGGAGGCTGCCTAGCTGGAGCAGGCTGCCCGACTAGAGCAGGCTGCCCTGCTGGAGGCTGCTCGATTGGAGCAGGCTGCCCGGCTGGAGGCTACCCTGCTCGAGAAGGCTGCCCTACTAGAGCAGGCCGCGCGGCGGCTGGAGCATGCAGGCCGCGCGGCGGCTGGCATACTGTTCGGCTGGAGCAGGCCGCGCGGCGGCTGGCATACTGTTCGGCTGGAGCAGGCCGCGCGGCGGCTGGCATACTGTTCGGCTGGAGCAGTCCGCCCAGCATTCTCGTTGCCCGACATCAACTTGGGCCCCACATACTTAGCAAGAAAGCAAAATGTGGCATGGCCCTGATTCGAGACTAGACAGAAAGACAGAGAAAGGAGATCATTTACCAACAAGAACCAAAAGCCTAAAAAATAAAAGAACAACAAAAATAGCAATAAGACGATAGACATAATCGATAATAAAAACATAGCTCCATTTATTTTACTGGCCTTGTTTCGTTCACGAAGCGCCAAGCATGCAGAGAGCGTCGAAATGAATATGATTACTCCGGAGTGTGTGCGCTCATTCGCCGATCAATAGCGATGGCGGCAAATTCCACATCGACAAACTCTTCAAACATCTGCGAATCAACAAACGCTACATCAGGTTCACATAACATTTAATGAAGAATAATGCTTAAAAAAAAACATAGATAAAAATCATAGCCCAAATCAATGTTCGTCAACCGATTGCACAACGGACTTAAGGATATAAACTTTCACCTATTCAACGTTGGTTTTGAGATCTCAGGCAACCCTATGTCAGAATGTCTTTGTTCTCTAGCCTGCAGTGGGGTACTCTATAGCGAGTACAACCCCTTAGGGTTTCCTATATGTATCCTGCTGCTTTCTAGTGAACCGCTCTTCTTCTTCATTCTCGTTCAGTTTCTCATGCTATCAGAGCAGGTCGATCCCCTTGGGTCGATCCTGTGGGTGGGCTCACCACCTCACTGCTTCCGCTGCTACTGCTACTCTCTGTGTCGCA